CTGCTCCACAAAAGAAAACCAGATGAGAGTTGATGGCATAGGTCAGGTTGTAGAGCAGAGGGCCTGCCCAGCAGGTTCAACGCCAAGTTCAAACCTCGGTACTGAAAAAGAAAGGAAGGAAGGAAGGAAGGAAGGAAGGAATGAAGGAAGGAAGGAAGGAAGGAATTATTAGAAAAACATTATGCCAAAACACTAATAAAACTGATTGGGGCAAATACAGCCAAGTATCACTTAGAAATGAGGACACAGTCTGAGAAATGCAAGCATCACAGAATGTACTTACACAAACTAGTCCTGCTCTGATTAACCACCAGGCAGAGCATCTTTCCTAAGACCACTAGCATTAATATGTTCCTTGTTGGGGAACACATCACTATGCAGCACCTGGGTATTGGAAACAATTCTTTAAAACATTAGATGAGGCTGGCCATGGTGGTGTACACCTGCAGTCCTAGTACGTGAGAGGCTGAAACAAGAGGACTCCCAGCTGAAGGCAGTGTCTACCACACAGCAAGACCCTGTCTCAGATTTAAAACAAAAAAGACAACAGATCCTAGAGAACCAGTTAATGAGAAACTAGACAACATATGAACAGCATCAAAATAACACCTACCCAATACTTTAAGTCATAGGAAGAAAATCATACACTGAAGGGACTAGCTGGTTAACACCCAATCTAATGGTCACTTTCAACATCATTAATGGGAATCTAAATATGATATGTTTTCTGAGGTAATGCAGCATTTGCTATTCAAATTTGTGAATATAATTTCCAGTTCACAAGAAATACAAAGGATGGAATACTTGCATAGAGTTAAATGTCATCAAGTCAAAAAAAATAACAAAACAATGAATAAATTCAAAACAAATATTTTATAAGAAAACAAGAGATTAAGAATAACAGAACCCGGGCACTGGTGGCTCACACCTGTAATCCTAGTTACTCAGGAGGCTAAGATCTGAGGATCCAGGTTCAAAACCAGCCTGGGCAGGAAAGTCTGTGAGATTCTTATGTCCAATTAACCACCAGAAAACCTCAAGTAGAGCTATGGCTTATGGTGGTAGAGTGTTAGGTAGCCTTGAGCGGAAAAAGCTCAGGGATAAAACCCAGACCCTGAGTTCAAGCTCCACAACTAACTTTAAAAAAAAATAACAGAAATTAAAATACACAACAACGACATGCAGATGTTCCTGGGTTATATAATTTTGACACTTTGGACCAACTTGGTAAATATGAACATAATCTGGGTCTGAAGATAAAAAATGCATACTAAGGGGCTGGGAAGGTGGCTCAGTGGTAGAGCGCTTGCCTTGCATGCCTGAGGCCCTGGGTTCAATTCCTCAGCACCACATAAGCAAAAAGAAAAAAGCCAGAAGTGGCACTGTGGCTCAAGTGGTAGAGCGCTAGCCTTGAGCTGAAGAGCTGAGCAACAGCACCCAGGCCCAGAGTTCAGGGCCCAGGACCGGACCAAAAAAAGAAAAAATGCATACTAAAGGAATAGTCATTGACTTTAAAAAATGGGGAAAATAGTAGTAAACATAAAACTAGTATGTGTATACATCACATTAAGTCCAGTTGCTATCAATGTAAAGTCCTTTTCTGAATTTCTCAAGGACAGAGACAAGTTCTGTGTAGGACCTTTCTTTTTGGGAGCCAGCCCTGGGGCTTGAACTTGGGGCTTTAGTGCTGTCCCTAAGCTGTTTTTTGCTCAAGGCTCGTCTTCTTACAACCCAGCCCCTCTTCCAGATTTTTTGAACAAAATGACAAAACAAGATTTTGCATTGTTATTTTCAAAATGCTTTTTAAATCATGAGTTCTTTTGAAAAGCCTATTTTCACTTGAAATTGCACCTTTACCTTGAAATGACAAGTATCAAAATCTGACTGTCATGGGACAGACAGCAAACTTAGTTCCTAAAACAGAATGGCACTTATTTTTGTAAAAGGAAAATTCATCCTTCAGCTCTTTCAGTGTCTTCAGTTTTAGTTCCACTGTTGAGATGGTTGAACTGGTAAAGGCATTTACCAGGTAATATCATATAAATCACAGTACTTTGAAATGCACTGGAGACAAAAGAAAAGTCAAATTGTTTCTCTCCCTTCTCACAACACAGAAGAGCCTGCCCATCTGACAAGGAATGACAAGAGAACAAGAACGATCTCTACTTTGTGAAGTTTCTTTTAAAACACTTTTGAAAAATGGCCAGTGTCTATGGCTCCTGCTTATCATCCTGGCTACTTAGGAAACTGAGAATGGGAGGATTGCAGCTCAAGGCCAGGCCAGGCAGAAAAGTCCAACCGATTCTACCTCCACAAAAGGAAGCTGGCTGGATATGGTGAGAGGCCTGAAACCGGCAGATTTCGGTCCATACCCAGGAAGGACATTTACCTCAAAAACAACTGGTGAAGACTGGGCCTGGTGGCATGTGTTGTGAGGCAGAGTACCTCCTTGGTAGGCACACGGCCCTGAGCTCACGCTGAGTACCACCAGAAATGCATAGTTACGATGGTGATTTATTTCTATGCCCCAAAGGATTTTTTCACATTCTCTCTCCACCCCATATTAAATTCTTTCACACACAAAGAATAAATGAAACATAATTCCTTTCAAAAGCCCAGAATTTAAAAGGATAAATATTTTTGTTTTTTTCTGGTGCATATAACATCATGCCCACACGTGAATTTTACCCGGTCCCTGGCAGGGTAGGCAAGCACCCTACCATGGGGCTCTACCCCAACCCTGCACTGTGTTCTTTGTCATGATTCTTCTTTCAGATTTTGTTTTTGCTTTAATAAGTACCATATCAAACCAATTACTAAAAACCTTTACTATCTCCAAAATTCCTCAGTGAGGTCAGCTTAAGTTGTTAAGGTTTCTCTCTCTAGTCTTTAATCAGAGGATTTAATCAACTTCTAACAGATCAAACCCTCACTTCCTTTGATGTTTTATCTTTTGAAGTATTTACACTGTATCTCGAACACTTTTCTATTATTAATGAGCTTAACAAATTTTCTTTCCTTGGAAGTCTTTCTCTACTTCCCTATCCCAAATCTTTTAGCTGTCAGTCATGGCTAGTCATAGCCTCTTTTGTCCTGGTAAACCAACATTCAAACTAGCTTGCCCTGGCATTTTCCTAATCAATCCCTGACCTGAACATTTAAAATCCTCAAGGATTTCTCAATCCAAATACATAAACTACAAAAAAAACAAAGCTTCTGGAATCAAAACATAACCACAAACCAAAGTTATACCAAACTAGGAACAGATATGTCAACCAACTGTTGGCAAATACATCAAGAGTTTATTTTTCTTCAATTGTAGGCAAAAAACAAGAGCAATGGGCTGGGGGTTGTGGCTCAGAGGTAAAGCATATACTTAGTATATATGAGGCTCTAGATTCTGTCTTCACCACGGTAAAAAAAAAAAAAAAAAAAAAACAGCAGTAAGATTAAAAAAGGTTAATTTCTAATTGATAAAGCCTGAGTGTTGTTTCCTACTGGCCTGGGAAAGAACCTTTTGAGGCGCTGTTCACCCTGAATTCCACCCTGCTTCACCCTCTGAAAGACTTCTCAGACCCGTAACAAGTAACCCATCCAGAAGCAGCCGCACAGAACTTACGGACTCTGAACCCAATGTCTGAGAACTGCTCCAACCATCCAGGGTAAAGACAAACCCACCAAAGATTGTTTGCCATTTTTGTTAACACACCAAGGACCAATTCCTGAGGGTTCCATTTAATGCTTTATCAACCCCCAAAACTCTGACTGTGTCAGAGTTACACAGAGTTTTCTGTGTGAAGGTGCCATGATCGAGTTTAATCCACAAGGTTTTCTCCCCCTGATGAGTGGCCAAGTAATGGGACATTTAGTCTCATTTCTTGAAACATCTTTCCCTCCTTTCTTGGGATACTGCACAAACTTCTTTTTTAAAAGGATTTTGCTGCCAACATAAGAAACACCAAGAGATTACAACAAAGCAACCACAACTAAAAAGAAAAAAATCAAAATTTAATAGACATAATAAACAACCTGTGTTTTATGCTTTCAGGGATGATGACAAAACGAAAGTTTTCTTGGACTCATTTCTCTACTTTATGATATTTTTTTTATTTTGGTGTTTTGGGTTTTTTTTTTTTTTCAGTTTAGGGATTGACCCCAGGGTTAAATACATGCTAGGCAAATGCTATACCACTGAACTACAGCCTAGACCTATTTCTTGAGCACAAACAGGAAAAGAACCCAAAATAAAGACCATCACTGCTGCTGAGATATTTCAAACATTAAATTCAAGTATTCAGTTGCAACTTCAACTATTCCCACCAATTTTTGACCGATTTATTCTTATAAAACTCCTGCTTATTAAACTGTAGACTAGAAAATAATTGTATGTAGCAGTGGTACTCACTGAGTCACCCACAACTTGTGGGTGGGGACAGGAGGGGAAAACTGGGTGTGAGGAAAGAGTGACACTATCCAAAAGGAATGCACTTCATTACCTGACTAATGTAACTGCAAGCCCTCTATAGATCACCTTTATAATAACAAAAAATTAAAATTAAAATTTTGTAAGGAGGGGAAGGCTTGAGATGGGGTTGAGGGTATAGTGCAGAAGAGTTTGTTTAATATAAGCACATTTGTATAACAAGTGCAAAGCCTTCAGACAGAGCAAGCTGGAAGCGTGAAGAAAGAACATCTAAAGAGAAGGGGCATACCATACCCTTGCTGGACCTGAAACAGAGAGGGAGGAAAAAACCTGCCCATTACTAAATCACAAAGCACACTTATCTCCCGGGAATGTACTATTTTTAAAAGAATCACCATTGGTGGTGACCACAGTAACCTAACTGTACAATTCACTGGATGAATTCTAAGCCAATAAAAGTAGCTTGGGGGGCACTATTTGCTAACTTTAGGGCTAAACTGCAGCAACTCCTTCAAAGTAGTTGGTCAAAAAAAATCTTTTCACAATACACTAGGAACCTAGGTTAATAAGTACTTACCATATAACAGCCCATAAGGAAAGCAGCATTTGCTTGTTTTCTCTGATCAGAGCCAGTGAAATGAATAATTTTCTTCCTTATCATTGTAATGGACTGCATTAAAAATGAATAGTGGTTAGTGTATTTTCTTTTCAATTGTTAATTTCCTAAAATTTTACTTTGTGACAAATTGGTGATAAATTCCAAATCTCACAGCACATCAGCATTCATCTTATCTAGACCTCTGAGAAAATTAACATGGTGACCTCCCCACCACACACACACTCTCTCTCTCTCTCTCTCTCTCTCTCTCTCTCCAAAATGTCATGCAACCTTCCTATAAAAGATATTCTGAATCAGAATGAATTGAGCAGAGAGTAGAGAGGTAATAACTAGGTATGTGCTCAAAGCTACGTACCTCTGCGGCATTTCAAAGACAGGCCTGTGGAGCATTTAACTATGGCCAAATACTGACCTTCCCCAGGGATGCCCTATAGTGCTGTTTTTGAAAAGCAATGAAGCCACCCTCATAATATGATCCACAACTCATGACGTAGGAAACTAAGTAAGTACCCTAACATCTAAACCCAACAACAAAGCATAGGTTTCCTCCGGGAAAAAATACAAGAGGCTAAAATAGTGATGGGAGAAACTGCTCCCTTTCCCACGGTTAGGTTTTTAAAGAAATCTATTCTAGAAACCAATAAATCAAAAAGTTATACAGAACAAAGCAAAAACAATCCATGTGAAAGCAGGGCACGGTGGCTCACACCTACAATCGACTCCAGCTACAGGAAGGTCTCTGGTTCTAGGGAACCCTCGATACAAAATGAGACCTTCTCAAAACAAAACAAAGCCTGTGGTTTACAATCCAGACAGCAGGTGACCAGGGCAGTGGTGGGCTGAGGCTGCAACTGAAGAAAGCCTTCAGTGAACTCTTCTTGGGCTATAAAGTTTCTCTTGATCTGTTGAGAAGAGATACTACCCACAGGGATCAAATCTCTAAAACTTCGTTCATGCTCTGGACATACTTATTTTGTTGTTGTTTTCTATTTTTTTGTTTTGGTTCTAGGGCTTGAACCCTGAGCTTTTGTGCTCAAGGTTAGTTCTCTACTATTTGGGTCACAGCTCCATATCCAGCTTCTTGGTGGCTAATTGAAAATAAGAGTCTCATGGACTTTCTTGATCAGGCTGGCTTTGAACCTTGATCTGTAGATCTCAGCCTCTTGAGCATCTAGGATTACAAGCATCGGGTTGGACATATTTCTGTATACATATTGCTGGGGTATAGCTCAGTAGTACAGAACTTGCCTAGCATGCATAAACCCTGAGCTCTATCCCCAGCATCAGAAAAAAAATCAACAAAGTTAAAAATTTAAAAACAAGTTTTAACATTAATGGAGCACAGCTTTACTAATGCTGAGAAGCCATCAGCTCAGGAAAGGCTGCTGTCTGCCTATGTTTTAGTGTCCCATGGTGAATGTGAACATATGCTCCTTTCATGCTTTACGCAGAGGGACAGACCCAAGTTGATCAAAACAAACACAAAGCCCAATCAGCCATCTAGTAGCATAAGCAGAACACACTCTCCACGCAACTTTGATTTTGTTCAGTTTCGTTGTTTCATCACTGTTAACTGATAATGTGCCAGTTGCGTTAGAGGGTCAGCATACTACAGTGGTTCCACTAAATTATTTAGGGGTTGGTTCAAACCCGTTTTGGTTGATGCAAAGGACAAAAGCCCAAAACAAACTAGGCATGAGAGCAGACAACACACATACAATATGGAACTCTGGAAACTAAAGCACAGAAACAAAAGTTGGGAAGATTATTTTTAGCTTCCTAATAACTCTGTGGGAAACAAAAGATCTGCTACTGGCAAATGGAAAAAGGGGAGGGAGGGAGGGATTCAAATGTACAGGGCAATAAATCTTTACATTCCTATTTAAGACCGCTCAGGGAAAAGAAACAGCCTCACTATATCAATTTATAGTTGATACAGTTTGATGCTGCGGGAGGGGGCTCTTCTTTACTCATAAATTTTTATTTCTTTTGGTTAGTTCTCTAGTAGGTAACCCATTGAATATCAGTTGTTTCTTAAGTTCCTACAGTATTTCCTACTTAACTAGTTATACTAAGTTGGAACTTCTAGCAAGCAGTATAGAAATACTTCTTACTGTGTCTGACCAATAATTCAAGTGATTTAAAAGAAGCAAAGTGATACAACATTCAACAAGCGACTAGCCCTTGCTAGCATCTCTTCTTAACCATGTGTAGAGGGTCAGAGTGAAGAGTCACATGTAGTCCGATAATATGGGGATTTTGAGACAAGGAAGAAAGCATAGCCTATTTATCTTGCTATTTTTCTTACAGTCCTTTACCAGAATGGGGGCAGAAAGAACAATGACCAAACCAGGAAAGAATTTCTCTTGTTTGTTTCAGCTCCCAGTAAGGTCAGACAATAAAAGGCTTGTTTAATTTACCAGTTTCCACTTTGATTTTGTAAGGATTTGAGCATCACCAATTCAAACCAGAATCAGATAACCCAAACGTAGGGTGGGGGGGAGGGAAGTTCTATCCACACCCTAGAAAACAGAAGCTGAGTGTGATGGTGCACACCTGTAAGCCCTCTTAAAAACCTCAAGGCCAGCGTAGGCTGTACAGCATGTTGGAGAGGTACATATCAAGACCCAGTATCAAACAAAACAAAAATCAAGGGGAAAAATAGCTGTAGAAAGTACATATACTGTGACTTGAAAACAAAAAAAAAAATCGTATCTTAAACGTTACTTAAAATGAAACTTTGATGATGCTTTTAAAACATCCCCAACACTCATTAGTTCAAACTTTTTATTCCTTTCTTTTCTTTTTGAGTAATGGTCTTAAGGTCTCTAAGTCCAGGCTGCCCTCAAACTTCTGCCAGGGCATCCTGAGTGCGGGGAGGGAGCCTACCTCACCACCGCAGGCCTCAAAGGGCCTGAAGCCCGTGAGGCAGATGCTCTGCCACTGAGATGCAGCCCCAGCCTATGAAACTGTTTGTGTGCCAGTACTGGTGCTTGAGCTCAAGGCCAGAACCTCTTGCTTCACTTTTTTATTCACAGTTGGTGCTTTACCACTTACTTGAGCCACAGGCTCCACTCCCTGTTTTAGTTTTGGTTTTGCTTTGTTTTGCTTTTGCTGGTTAATTGGAGAGCAGAGTCTCTCAGATTTGTCTGGGCTTTGCCTGCCAAGACCACAAGCCTAAGCTCTCAAGCTCCTAAGTAGTGAAGATTGCAGGCATGAACCACTGACACCCAGCTGTGAGCCTCTGACACCCAGCTGTACTTTTCTATTTTAAGGGGAAAAAATACTTTCAATTTCTTTTTCACTTTTCAAAGTCTTTTAAAGGAAGATAGGTCTCCTTTACTCCCACCACCAAGATTAAGTGAACAATGAGTATTTAAGTCAAATCTCTTAAGTAAAAAGAGTTTACCTTGAGCTTCTTATTTAACTTGCAACAGTATCTGTAAACCATTGCCAGATTGAGTGGTCCAAAATCTGCGTAGAAACTTGAAAAATAAAAACATGTATGTTCTAGGTGCTCTGAACAGAAAAGTCATTTGGGGAATCTCTAAGATCAAACTATAAGAAGAAAGAATATACCGTACTAAATTGATACAAACCACACCATTCAAAAGTACAGCCCTAATAACAGAAGATACATTCTGATAAGGGATACCTAGTTAAATAGTTAACAACTGAGTGGTAGTAAGTGGTAGTTAAGTTCAACTAGCAAGTAGGAGTCTCTGGGGTCCAACCCAGCATCACAGGAAGTCCACAGTCCAAACATAATAATTTCCATATTGACACATGTACTGTGCACACCTTAATAGACCTCACTGAAGCACTGAAATGCACATGACTGGAATATCAAATGTTAAATGCTTAAATGCAGGAAGGTTCTCCCCACCCCCACCCCCAAGATCTGCTTTATTTTGGTGCCAGTACTGGACTCAGGGTCCGAGTGGCTGTCTCTTTAGCTTTTTGCTCAAGGCTGGCACTCTACCACCTGAGCCACACCTCTACTACAGGCTTTTGTTGGTTAATTGGACTTTCCTGTCCTGACTAGCTTTGAACCACCATCCTCAGACCTCTGCCTCCTAAGTAGCTAGGGTGACAGATGTGAGCCACCAGCACCTGGGCTCTAAAACTGTCTTATACCAATGGTTAAAAAGAAAAAAAAATCCTCCAGCAGTGGCCCAAATGATAAGAGCAATCAAAAGATTTGTAATTTTCCAAAGCTGCTTTACAAATATACCCTTAAGATTCTTCAAAAGAAAAACAAAAGCTACATCTGCTAAAAAGCAGTACTTACTTCTCATATTCAAGTTCATTATCTATGCTGAAATAATGTTCGCTTGCGGCACTCTTTGGTCTGCTGTAGAGAATGGCAAAACAAAGGCGATCTGCAATGGAAAAATTGTGATGTTCCTTCCTTCGGGTTATGAGCAAGCTCCTATCGCACCGCATAACTCTTCTGAGGTGAGGGCAAAACTTTGGGTTATTTTCCATGCAAATTTGAGGTGTCAGAGGTAGCAATAAAAAAATTCAAAACAGTTCAGCTTTTTAAAGGATAATAAACAATTTTTATTTTATTATTTTTTTGTGCCAGTCCTGGGGCTTGAACACTGGGCCAGAGTGCTGTCCTGAACAGCCCCACACCACCACCGCTTCAAGGCTACTGTTCTACTACTTGAGCCACAGCTCCACTTCTGGCAATTTTGGTAGTTAACTGGAGGTAAGGGTATCAGGGACTTTCCTGCCCCAGCTGGCTTTGAACTGTGATCCTCAGATCTTGGCCTCCTGAGTAGTCGAATGACAGGCGTGAGCCACCAGTGCCCGGCATAAACATAAACCAAATTTCTATGGAGGAAATTGCCTTTAATTTTAAGTGGTAGAGCAATGATTTAGTTCCTGAGGGAACCTCTCATCAAACTGGGAACCCTCAATTCCGCAGGACTGAGAAACTTCAGCAACCCACTGCATGCAGTGCACAGCCACCCACCTCACCAAGCTGACCTTTGCCAGCCAGCACCCTAAAGCTTAGCAAAAGAGGTACCAGTAAGGGTTTTTAAGAGAAATTGCTTGAAACTATAGAACACAACAAACCATCTGCACATCAACTCTGTTCAGGGAGTCGCTCCTTTTCAAAGAAATTCTTAGAACCACTATTTTGCTGTAGAAAACTTAGGCCAGTTAGTTCAGGGGCCACTGGGGCTTCTCTGAGGGCCTGGCCCGTGTCCACGGTAGACCTATGCAGGCTGCTGGGAGGGAGCAGCACAGGATCCCCCTCCTCCACTGCGCCCTCACCCCACCCCACCACCGCTGCGCCCTCACCACCCACCTCCACCGCGCCCTCACCACCCACCTCC